TGCATGGTTTTGCACTCTATCCGATTTTTGCCGTCGAAAAAGTAATTTAATTTCAAATTTATAACAGGGATGGAACTGAACTAGAACTGAACTAGAAACTGAACTAGAACTGAACTAGAACTGAACTAGAACTGAACTAGAACTGAACTAGAACTGAACTAGAACTGAACTTAGAACTGAACTAGAACTGAACTAGAACTGAATAGAACTGAACTAGAACTGAACTAGAACTGAACTAGAACTGAACTAGAACTGAACTAGAACTGAACTAGAACTGAACTAGACTGAACTAGAACTGAACTAGAACTGAACTAGAACTGAACTAGAACTGAACTAGAACTGAACTAGAACTGAACTAGAACTGAACTAGAACTGAACTAGAACTGAACTAGAACTGAACTAGAACTGAACTAGAACTGAACTAGAACTAGACTAGAACTGAACTAGAACTGAACTAGAACTGAACTAGAACTGAACTAGAACTGAACTAGAACTGAACTAGAACTGAACTAGAACTGAACTAGAACTGAACTAGAACTGAACTAGAACTGAACTAGAACTGAACTAGAACTGAACTAGAACTGAACTAGAACTGAACTAGAACTAAACTAGAACTAACCTAGAACTGAACTAGAACTGAACTAGAACTGAACTAGAACTGAACTAGAACTGAACTAGAACTGAACTAGAACTGAACTAGAACTGAACTAGAACTGAACTAGAACTGAACTAGAACTGAACTAGAACTGAACTAGAACTGAACTAGAACTGAACTAGAACTGAACTGGAACTGAACTAGAACTGAACTAGAACTAAACTAGAACTGAACTAGAAAGTTCACAGATTCACAGTCCAGGAACTAAATTATTAACTAATCTATCGATTATTCTATATACTAATCTCTAGACTGAACTATTGACTAAGTTATTCGATGGAGTAGTCTATGGACTAGTCTATTGATTAGACTTTTGCATGGTCTTGTCTATTGAACAGTTTATAGGTTAATCTGTTGACTATTTTATGGAATTGTCTATTGACTTAAAAGCAATTTAGAACTTTTAACCTTAAAAAAGTGCTTTTTTGATATAAGTAACAACTATTTCAAAATTTCAATTTTCCATGCCTGGCTCAAGCCTTCTTCTAAAACTAATTAAAATATCCATATCTTAATATCTCCCCCTTTAAGTACTGCCCTTTGGTAGCATGATACCGGGTGTCAATGAATATCGCTCACCATTCTATGAAATCTGGTATGCTTTTCAAATGATTATAACGCCCATGGGCTGTTGTATGTATATACCCTACACCACGCTAATTGTATCCTTTATAATGTTTGGCATAGTTATGTGTAAAACTCTGCAGCATCGTTTGAGAAGTTTAAAACGTTGTGGCAAAAAGTCAACTTTAATTTATCAGCAGGTTATTAATTGTATTAAATTTCAAAAGGATATTATTAGGTACGACAGAGAATTTCTTAAAGAAAAATATATTTTCATTTTTTAATACTTCTTTTGCAGTTATATAGAAACTGTTAATCATTTAACAACTTTTATATTTATGTTGGAATTTTTAGCATTTGGAGCTTTATTGTGTGCCTTATTGTTTCTTTTGATAATTGTAAGTTATAAATTTACTCTAAAATAGTTTTTATGATAAAGTATCAATGCTGGATTCATTAGGTGGATTCTACGGCTCAAGCTCTTATTGTTTGCGCCTATATAACCATGATATTTGCTCAGATATTGGCTTTATATTGGTATGCCAATGAGTTAAAGGAACAGGTAATCGTAGACTTTGTTTTAAAACTTATTAAAAAAAAAAAAACGTTAAAACTTTACAGAATTTAAAAATTGCTGAAGCTGCCTATGATACAGAATGGTTTACTTTTGATATTCCCGCTCAAAAAAATATACAATTATTAATTTTACGGGCACAAAAACCATGTTCGGTAAGAGATTTTTAGTAATATTGTAGAGTACAAAATAACATATTTCTGGTTTCTTCTTTGTAGATAAAAGTGGGTAATATGTATCTAATGACTTTGGAATTGTTTCAGGCTTTATTGAATGCTTCATATTCATATTTTACTCTATTGAAAAGGGTTTACGGTTAAGAAAAAGTACTATATTTAAATAAAACTGTTTTATGAATTTCGTTTTGTTAAATTTAATAAATATAGAAAATCAAGATGTATTGAGAATTGTCCAATTGACCAATTCTCGGCCACACCTGTTAAAAACCTTGTAGACAGAAGTGGTTGAGATGTTTTGTAATTTTAGGTATTAATCATTATTATTAATATAATTATAAGGAAAAAATGCTCAATTACAAGTAACTATAATTGGAAATTCTGCAATTACAATAACAATTGGTTATTTCTCAATTCAACATTACAAATAATTGTAATTGTGAAAACTTTAATGTGACTTTTAGGGGTGTATTTGTCTAAAAAAGTTGGTTTTTAGTCCATTATAATATGTACTATTATTATATTATATATATTTATAAAAACGGGCACTTTTTATCGTTTAAAAGTACTCAATTACTTTTCGTTTTCTTTTAATCAATTGTCTAGTTTACTGACTAATATATGGAGAAGACATGGACTAGTTTTTGTACTAGCCTATTGACTAATCTATGGATAATTTTATTGACTAGTTTATTGACTTCTCTATGCACTAGTCGATTGACTATTCTATGGACTAGTCTATCGCCAAGTCTATGGACTAGCCAAACGTTTAGTCGACTGATTATTCAATGATCTTGTCCATTGTCTAGTCTATGGTTAAGTCGGTGGTCAAGTATATGATCTGAACTATGGCTTAGTCTATGACCGACACTCTTATAATCTTCGTACTAGATCTCTTATAACCTTTGTTTTAGTCTATATATTCTATGGACTAGTCTATTGAAAAGTCTATGGACTAGCCTAATGACTAGTCGCCTCATTATTCAATTATCTAGTCTATGATCTAGTCCATGGTCAAGTCTTTGGTCAAGTCTATGGTTAAGTCTATGATCTAAACTATGGCTTAGTCTATGACTGAGATTCTTATAATCTTTGTACTAGATCTCTTATAGCCTTCGTTTTAGTCTATAGAATTGTTTATTAACTAGTTTTTGGAGAATTCTACAGATTAATTCTTTAGGCTTTACTTCATCCTACTTGACTAAATATCTATAAGACGGAACTTTTGGGTATTTTTTTATAATTTTGAACGTAGAAACATAATCTGTAAGAGGGAACTTTTGACATTAAACGGACACGTCCTAAGGATCTATAACTGGGATCTTTTGGTACCCTTTCGTTCTTTAAATGGTCCCTTTTGAATTGGCTATACTATGGAGCAAAACACTTGAAATAAATCGCACACGTCCTAATTGAATAAGAATATATAAGAGGGATATTTGTTATACTTTATAACCTTTTCAGTTATAATTTAACTTTAAGATATATTGACAGTTCTCATACAAAAATTGTCTTAACTGATAGAATAAGAATTGTTTAAACTAATTTTATATAAAAACCCTTTAAAACCAAATATTTTATTGATTCAATTTGTAATATTGTTATTTGTTTTTACTTCTATTTAATTTTTATTATTATTTTAAAATTTAAATAAATAAATAAACTGTTTGTTAACAGTATTAACTTTAACTATCTAAATAAACATAATAAAATCAAAATTTTTATTTAATATTAAAAATTTACCTTTTTACTTGATTTAAATTCAAAAGTCTTCGCCGCAGAAATAAAGTGTATTTGCAAAAGTCTGGCAACTCTGTTGTCACATAAAATCAGCGCCATCTATTGGTTGCCTATTGGCTACTTTCGTAAACAACATGATAATCTGGCAATATTGGCTTAAAAATGGCATGCCACTATTAGAAACGATCTGGTAGCTCTGTATAAAATTTCAAAAATAACCAAAGTTGCCACATCGTTTTCCATAATGGCATCCAATTTTTCAGCCAATATTGCCAGACTGGTATGTTGTTTGCAAAAATAGCCAATAGGCAACCAATAGATGGCGCTGTTTTTATGTCTCGATAGAGTTGCCAGACTTTTGAACATTTTCATTAAAAATTTAACGGATTTTTTTTAAATTTAAACACATTTGTTGTAATTTGAGCAGAATAAAGCAAGTTAGTAAGTGATTTATATGAACTTTTTTGATCTAGTCTATTCTGTTCGCCTGTTAAGAAAAAAAAAAAAAAAGAAATCAACAAAACTTTGTTTAAATTTTTACGTTGTTTTTTATTTTCTTCTTTATTTTAAAGTTTTTCATTCAATAATTTAATTCAATTAAATACCATTCATCATACTTACAACATTGTACTTACTTTTTTTGTTTTCTTTTCATACCAATTTATTATTTTTTTCTTTAATTATATATATAATATTTAAATACTATAAAATATTTAATTACTAGCATTTTTATATAATTGAACAATCAAAAAAACACACACACATTCTATGCGATCAATCCTGTAATTTGGTTTTTTTTAACTTCTGTTTTAGCTTAATTACCAAAATATGCTATCAAAAAACAAGTTACGTATTAGTTTAAATTTTAGATAATTTTTTGTGGTAATATAATTTAGTAATACTTTTTTTTTTAAATATTTATAAATAATTATAGGGGTTTGTTTTTATAAATTTGTTAAAGAAATAACATGAAAAGATTGTATTTGAATTATAATAATATTTAAATTTATAATTATTTAACTTATAAATAAATATATTATAAATTATTTTATTTATTTTTAAATTCTGGTATAAATCGTATAAACTTTTTATTTTCTTGTTTTTTTTTTACCTTTGATCAACACATTAAACATTTATTAATAATAATGGCTTGTAATAGATCTTTTGTCCTGTTTCTTTTTTGCGTTATTAATTATGTAATTCAATTATTTTAATACATAGTATTTATGTAAAAAACTTTTTACTTTTTTTTTATAACATTTTGATATTTTTAAAGTGTATAAGTTGTATGTTTTTTGTTTTTTTTTTTTAATGTAAATGTTTGTTTCTTAAAAATTAATAATTGTAAAGTAATTCTCATAATGAGTCTGTCTTATTATTAAAAAAAAGTTTTAGTTTCGTTTTATATATAAGGATATAATCTTCGGATATTTTAACGTATAGTCTGCTTCTTTGTAGTTATATATAACAAATAAACATACAAATAGGTTGGTTTTTCTTTATTAAATTGTATCTCAATTTTTGGGTGATACTGTTATTAGTTTATGCGGAGTTACGGGAGATATCTGAAATATTAAAAGAAAATATATTAAACCTATGTATTCATTAAGATCAAAATAGTCAGGTCTGTCAAAGACTTTCATTCGGATCGAAAGTGGAATTCTAAAACCTCTAATTATTGTACTGGACACGTTCGACTATAGACCAGACTCTATAGTCCAGTCTATAGTGAAGTCTATAGTCTAGTCAAATATGCATGGAGTCTATAGTCTAGTCTATAGTCTAGTCTATAGTCTAGTCTATAGTCTAGTCTACAGTCTAGTCTATAGTCTAGTCTATAGTCTAGTCTATAGTCTAGTCAAATATGCATGGAGTCTATAGTCTAGTCTATAGTCTAGTCTATAGTCTAGTCTATAGTCTAGTCTATAGTCTAGTCTATAGTCTAGTCTATAGTCTAGTCTATAGCCTGGTCTATAGTCTAGTCTATAGCCTAGTCTATAGTCTAGTCTATAGTCTAGTCTATTAGTCTAGTCTAGTCTATAGTCTAGTCTATAGTCTAGTCTATAGTCTAGTCTATAGTCTAGTCTATAGTCTAGTCTATAGTCTAGTCTATAGTCTAGTCTATAGTCTAGTCTATAGTCTAGTCTATAGTCTAGTCTATAGTCTAGTCTATAGTCTAGTCTATAGTCTAGTCTATAGTCTAGTCTATAGTCTAGTCTATAGTCTAGTCCTAGTCTAGTCTATAGTCTAGTCTATAGTCTAGTCTATAGTCTAGTCTATAGTCTAGTCTATAGTCTAGTCTATAGTCTAGTCTATAGTCTAGTCTATAGTCTAGTCTATAGTCTAGTCTATAGTCTAGTCTATAGTCTAGTCTATAGTCTAGTCTATAGTCTAGTCTATAGTCTAGTCTATAGCCTGGTCTATAGTCTAGTCTATAGCCTGGTCTATAGTCTAGTCTATAGTCTAGTCTATAGTCTAGTCTATAGTCTAGTCTATAGTCTAGTCTATAGTCTAGTCTATAGTCTAGTCTATAGTCTAGTCTATAGTCTAGTCTATAGTCTAGTCTATAGTCTAGTCTATAGTCTAGTCTATAGTCTAGTCTATAGTCTAGTCTATAGTCTAGTCTATAGTCTAGTCTATAGTCTAGTCTATAGTCTAGTCTATAGTCTAGTCTATAGTCTAGTCTATAGTCTAGTCTATAGTCTAGTCTATAGTCTAGTCTATAGTCTAGTATATAGTCTAGTATAGTCTAGTCTATAGTCTAGTCTATAGTCTAGCTATAGTCTAGTCTATAGTCTAGTCTATAGTCTAGTCTATAGTCTAGTCTATAGTCTAGTCTATAGTCTAGTCTATAGTCTAGTCCTATAGTCTAGTCTATAGTCTAGTCTATAGTCTAGTCTATAGTCTAGTCTATAGTCTAGTCCTATAGTCTAGTCTATAGTCTAGTCTATAGTCTAGTCTATAGTCTAGTCTATAGTCTAGTCTATAGTCTAGTATATAGTCTAGTCTATAGTCTAGTCTATAGTCTAGTCTATAGTCTAGTCTATAGTCTAGTCTATAGTCTAGTCTATAGTCTAGTCTATAGTCTAGTCTATAGTCTAGTCTATAGTCTAGTCTATAGTCTAGTCTATAGTCTAGTCTATAGTCTAGTCTATAGTCTAGTCTATAGTCTAGGTCTATAGTCTAGTCTATAGCCTGGTCTATAGTAGTCTATAGTCTAGTCTAGTCCTAGTCTATAGTCTAGTCTATAGCCTGGTCTATAGTCTAGTCTATAGTCTAGTCTATAGTCTAGTCTATAGTCTAGTCTATAGTCTAGTCTATAGTCTAGTCTATAGTCTAGTCTATAGTCTAGTCTATAGTCTAGTCTATAGTCTAGTCTATAGTCTAGTCTATAGTCTAGTCTATAGTCTAGTCTATAGTCTAGTCTATAGTCTAGTCTATAGTCTAGTCTATAGTCTAGTCTATAGTCTAGTCTATAGTCTAGTCTATAGTCTAGTCTATAGTCTAGTCTATAGTCTAGTCTATAGTCTAGTCTATAGTCTAGTCTACAGCCTCGTCTACATTCTAGAAACCCACTCAATCGGAATCTATGAAAAACCCTTAAAAAATATCGTACAACTTACCCATAATGAACGACTACCCATAAAATTAGAATCGTCATCATCCTCCATTAGACTATGATGTTGATGATGACGATGATGATGATGGGCAGCATGGTGATGATGTTGTTGATGCTGATCTAGAAATATTAAAGTATCTTTACTGCAGGTATTAACGGAATTTCTTAATACCGAAGATAAGGTATCACCACATTCCCGCAAACGATAATTGGAAGCCGTAGAAAAGGAATGTCTAAGATGTAGAGAAGGATGTTGTGCTGCTACTGCTGTAGAGGGTTGCATGGCATTTTCCACAGCCGAGACACTTGAGCGACTGCCATGCCAAGGTTGGCGATAGGTGGAAAAATGTCCTGCCAAAGCAGAACCTATAATACTGCTACTATTACTTTTAAGGCTGGAAGATAGTAAATGTTCCTTTTCATTTGCTGTTGTGGTAGTATTATGGGATTGAAGAAATCCATTGAATTTATTTTGTAAATTATTGGCGGCATCTTTAGAGACAGCCAGAGAACTGGGTGCTGGTGATTGTGAGGATAGTGACGAAGAGGAGGAGGAGGCCGTTGAAGAAGGTGTTTTCTCTTTGTTTTTATTATTGTCCACTTCGTCAGTTGTTTTTAACGGTGTTTTAGCTATTAGTTCTTTGTCCTCGCCATTAGTAGTCGTTGCTGTTTGGCTTGTTAGTAAAGCTTTGTTGTTATCTTTACTTTCCTCTACTTCTTCCTCTAGTTTACAATCCTCATCCATGGTAAAGATTTCAGTGCTATGTTCCTCATTTTCTATAATTTCCAATTGCTCTAACTTCGCCTCTAAATCGTCAGCTTCATCGTGTAAAACATCAGCATCGGCATAATCTAAAAGTTTCTCTAAAGCATCTAAATTAGTTTCAGTGTTAGTAGTTTGAGCACAATTTGCAGCAATAGGTTGTTGTATATCTTCGTCCTTTTTAGGTTGAGCTAAACGAAAAAGAGAAACAATATTGTAAATTTCATTAAGTTTAAATAAAAAAGCTGTAAGTTACATACCATTTTCCTCTTCTGCTTGGATTTCCTTAATTATTTCTTTCGTTGCTAATGTCTTAACCTCTGGCTCAATTTCTTCTATAGTTGTGGGTTTAACAGTGATAGTCTCATTTTTCATATTTTCCTCCGAATTGTGTACGACAACCGTTGAGGAGCAGGCGGTGGAGGTGGAAGCTGCTGCTACCGGTACTGGTACAGGTGGCGCTATGCGTGATATCCAATGGTCACTGGAATTTGAGCTCGAACCAGAACATTCGGCATTTTCTGCAGTTCTACGTTGATAAAACAACATATAAGCCTCATTATTAACGATTTCATCGGGCAATGACTCACTAGAGACTTTGGAAACACGCTGATCATCAAATTTATACCATTGACGATCGTAGGGATTCTTGCAGGCGGCAGTGTAATGACCTGTTTCCAAAGTGTCACCCTGATGATAACAGACGGCATATAAATCATAGCGGGTCTCACGATTGTCACGAGAACTTAAAGTGGAAGAACGTGAATCACCTGGCTTCGTTTTACGCCACGGACTGGGACGGTTGAAGGCGGTACCATCTGCTGTTAACGTATTGCCGCTGGTAGTTGTTTCATTAACTCCTCTAGCCAAGTGGGGAGACATATCAAACGAATGTAAAGGAAAATTAACCATGGTGGTCAATTTGGCGGCATTGGCGCCTTTGCCATGATGTTGGCGAAAACGTTTAAAGTGCACCACTAAAATATCGGGTAGAGACCATAAGCCTAAAGTTTTCACAACCGGTAAGTATTCCTGGCAATGAGGACAACGCCAGGCATCTTCAGCACTCAAAGTTTCAGCTTTGGTATAATGTTCCAGACACTGTTCCAAAGTCAAGGCTGCTGTATCATTTGTCTTGTTAGCCAAAAGACGCGGTACACTTTCGTGTTCCACCACTTGATCTGAAAGATCACAGAAATAAGCCTCCGGCTCTGGCCACTCTAGCAGCAGTTTTACATGTGTGGGACCAGCTTCTGCCGATAATACCGACAAAGCCAAGTCTATCATTTCGGTTAGTAAAGGATGTTCTACTTGTTCTATAAAAGTATCTGGATCTGCTGAGGGATCTTGCAAACGTATTTGAAACATTTCACTCAAAGGGGTGGCATAGGAAAACACTTCTGGCTTTAGTAGAGACGACATTTCTCTTAACAATTTCTTTTGCAATTCAGAATAAGAACAATCTCTGGGCATTTGTAAACAAAATGGAGCACCAAAACGTTCTAAGGAAATTAACTCCTTTTTCTCTGCGCTCTCTGTTTGCTCTACTCTCTTTTTCTTAACATTTGCCACCAGCACCAATAAATCGGCAGATTGTGGTTTATTTACATTTGGTTGTGAAGTTGTTGCGGTAGTACCCTCCGCTTTAGCATCTTTTTCCAATGGTACTTCTATACAATATATAGTTTCAATACCTTGTAAAGTATTCACTGGCTGTGTATCGTAAAAGACACGCATAAATCCTTCCTTTTGTAAATCAACCAATACCATACGTTCATTTGGTATACCCGTATCCTTGTGCAATTGCTCTCTTAGGGCCATTATGGGTGAACCGGCAGTGACTGTCAGACCCATGCGTACTTGTCGTGGTTGCTGTGACAAATAAACTACAGTAACAAAGATTGTCTGTTGCGTTAATTGGGGTAATTGCACCGATATACAATGGAATGGATCGAATGTGTTCGATTGTTTTTTACAACGTGGGCAGGTCAACGATGAACGAAATTGTGCTTGAAATACCGCCTGTACAAAGGAATTATTACAACGTATATGATTGGCCAAGGTTTCGGCGGCTATTATCTCATCTGGACGGCCATAGTTGTTCTGAAAGAAGTTAGGGGGGAAAAATCAAGTTTGAACTAAACAAATTTCAATAAAAATTAGTAATTGGACCATTTAAAGGTCATTGGCATTATTATCTTAAAGATTTTGTTTATCTATAAGCTAAAAAATAATAACTTTTTTAAATATTCAATTACAAGTTACATTAAGCTCAGTCCTTATATTCTTATACATACATATAAACGCCGTCTATTTTTATCTTATCAATTATGTAAATATTTTTACAAATATTATCTTCAACAAAAAACTGTAAGGGTTTCATTTTGCGAAAATTTTAAATTCAAGTGCAAATTTATTTTACGTAAAAAATAATAACTCGTGTTAAATAGTTCTAATAGCAACACTTGCATTGCATATTCCAGTTAATATTACATGTTATAATAAAGTGCTATAGACACGATAAGTGTGCTTGTTTGTAAGGGGAATGAACAATTGCCAGCGCCAGTATTTATTTAAATAAAATAATTGTGTAATAAACAAGTAATGCTTAATTTTATCAATTTATATTATTATAAGATAAGTGTTATTATATAGGTAGAATAAAGAAGAGTGAAAATTCTTTGTTGGAAAGTAGTTATTTGATTTTATTTTAAAAAACTGCTTTAAGATTTTTAAAGCTAAACGTTTTAATATTAATCGCATTGTCTTGGGTAAGGTAATTTTTAATGATATCTGCATTAGGTTGTTATCTTGTTTGTGAAATGTGCGCCTATAATAAAAGGTATTTACGTCAGTAACAGCTACATCGAATTGCACTTTAAAAATTTCCTGAATATCGAAATCTTATGCAAAACATTATTTCATATTGAAGACCAAGAAAATGGATCATTACACTGGCGATGTCAAGAATTGCTAGGAATATTTTTCGATATTGATTACTGGGACATAAATCATAAGTGAAGATTAATTTCAATTTTCCCGCATATTACAATTACTTGTATTCAAATTACAATTAAATTATATGTAATATTAATGGGTCAAGTCCACTTTACAAGCAATTGTAATTGTTCCTGTAATTAATTACTTATTGTAATCAAAATTATGATTTTCACGATAATTGGATCTTAGCGACAGCTGTATCATGGAAACGTTTTTTCCCAGGTCTCTTTAGGTATCTATCTATCTATCTATCTATCTATCTATCTATCTATCTATCTATCTATCTATCTATCTATCTATCTATCTATCTACCTATCTATCTATCTATCTATCTATCTACCTATCTATCTATCTATCTATCTATCTATCTATCTATCTATCTATCTATCTATCTATCTATCTATCTATCTATCTATCTATCTATCTATCTATCTACCTATCTATCTATCTATCTATCTATCTATCTATCTATCTATCTATCTATCTATCTATCTATCTATCTATCTATCTATCTATCTATCTATCTATCTATCTATCTATCTATCTATCTATCTATCTATCTATCTATCTATCTATCTATCTATCTATCTATCTATCTATCTATCTATCTATCTATCTATCTATCTATCTATCTATCTATCTATCTATCTATCTATCTATCTATCTATCTATCTATCTATCTATCTATCTATCTATCTATCTATCTATCTATCTATCTATCTATCTATCTATCTATCTATCTATCTATCTATCTATCTATCTATCTATCTATCTATCTATCTATCTATCTATCTATCTATCTATCTATCTATCTATCTATCTATCTATCTATCTATCTATCTATCTATCTATCTATCTATCTATCTATCTATCTATCTATCTATCTATCTATCTATCTATCTATCTATCTATCTATCTATCTATCTATCTATCTATCTATCTATCTATCTATCTATCTATCTATCTATCTATCTATCTATCTATCTATCTATCTATCTATCTATCTATCTATCTATCTATCTATCATCTATCTATCTATCTATCTATCTATCTATCTATCTATCTATCTATCTATCTATCTATCTATCTATCTATCTATCTATCTATCTATCTATCTATCTATCTATCTATCTATCTATCTATCTATCTATCTATCTATCTATCTATCTATCTATCTTCTATCTATCTATCTATCTATCTATCTATCTATCTATCTATCTATCTATCTATCTATCTATCTATCTATCTATCTATCTATCTATCTATCTATCTATCTATCTATCTATCTATCTATCTATCTATCTATCTATCTATCTATCTATCATCTATCTATCTATCTATCTATCTATCTATCTATCTATCTATCTATCTATCTATCTATCTATCTATCTATCTATCTATCTATCTATCTATCTATCTATCTATCTATCTATCTATCTATCTATCTATCTATCTATCTATCTATCTATCTATCTATCTATCTATCTATCTATCTATCTATCTATCTATCTATCTATCTATCTATCTATCTATCTATCTATCTATCTATCTATCTATCTATCTATCTATCTATCTATCTATCTATCTATCTATCTATCTATCTATTATCTATCTATCTATCTATCTATCTATCTATCTATCTATCTATCTATCTATCTATCTATCTATCTATCTATCTATCTATCTATCTTTCTATCTATCTATCTACATTTCATTCAACATTCTCTTGTTCTCAAATTCTTTTGTTTCAAATTCCTTAATTACTTAATTCTTTACATAATTCAAAATATGCAATTACACCAAAATTGTATCTTTCTTTAAAAATTAATTAAGTATTTAAAGGTTCATTATTTATAAAAATAAAGCGTAATTGTAACTTTGACTATGGAAAAATGAAATCAATACAATAGCTCTTACATTATTAAATTACTAATATAGACAACGGTAAAAGTGTGTAAACAAAAGAATCCAAATTAAAATTTCAACGGATATTCAATTAATAATGTAAATAGCAAACAAAAACAAATGCACATTTTTCTTTATCAAAGTCTTAACAAGAAGACATTTTCTAAAATTATTAACTTGTGCTCATCTAACACTAAACTATTAGTTGACTGTTATTTAAAAATAACAAAAATAAAGCAGTCATAAAAACCAATTACTAAACTGTTGCTTTTTTTGTAGTATTTTTACATTCTTTCTTTTCAAGTACATGAATGCATATGATGCTAAATTGTCAATATAACGCTAATGAAGGTACATTGTTAAAGATTAATACCAAACGGTATGAGCGTATAAACAAGTGTATTTTTTGTTTATCATCATCAACAGCAGCAACAACATCATCGTAGTTTACATCATTAGTAGTTTACTCTTAATCTTTATACACAGATAGATGAGAATTAATGTAAATTTTTAACTTACCTTGACACTTTTATAGCGTCTTTTTGTGGCGGTATTTAAATCTTCATGAACTTTATCCAAAAGCCAAAATAGAAATTCTTGAGCATCGTGTTGCGTTGAACTGCGAAATTGTGAACCATAACGATCAACAACAGCCTAAAGAAAGAGGTTAGGGAAATAAATTTAATTAAGTTACTTTGCTTAGAATTTTTTGTGAAAATATTTAGAAAGTTTACCTTGAAGCTGGTGCTATGATCACTTTCATTCTTACAAGTCCACAAGGCTTTTAGAACATTAGCCAATTGTTCGGTTAATTCACCTTTTGTACCAAATTTTCGTGAATTGATTTTATTGCGACGCTTTAAATCAGCCTAGAAAATAAAAAAAAATTAATACAATTAATGAAAATAGCGGAAAATGCATAATATTCGAGTTTTAATACAAAATCTATATTATAGATAAATAACAGTGGGTAATAAAAAGAAAATATTTTAAAGAAAAATTAAAAAAAAAAACAAATCTATCTCAGTGAAGTTTAAAGTCTCGAATTCTTTATTCATAGTTTTTTTCAATCAAACTCACCTTGTATTGATCCAAAACAAAATATTCAGCCAAAATATCGGTATGACTGAGACACTGTAAGACGGCATTCATGAAACAAGTGTTACCATGATTTTTTAAACCCATTACGCCAGGCGTTTGATCATTTGGCCACTGATAACCACTAATGGGCGGCACACGATCTGCGGTCGATGATATTGTATGACCATTAGCTGTGGTTGCGGCATAAGGTTTATTAGACTGTAAAATAAAACCACAAAAAAATTGTTTAATATGAAATTAATATTTTGCAATGCATATAAATATTTTTTGTTGAACAATTTAAATAATAAGGATTACTATAATGGCAATTGGTAGCTTATTTTAATTGTGTTTGATTTTTATTTTCCAATGCACAATTATAATGATATTTGATTTCTCCCCAAATTACTTTTAGCTATTGTTGAGTAAATATAAATTACAGAATGAAAAAAATGCACAAAAACAAAAAAATTTAATATATCTTTGAAATTTTTCAATAATTACAAACAAATAAAATAAGTATTTATTCGCCAATAGTCATTTCAGTCAATTCTTATCAAAACTAAGCAGTTTTCAATGTATAATAGTGTTGAAGTAATAATTAACAATTGAACAATTGAATCTCAAGCTTTTTAAATAAAAATTAATTTATTTTAAAAGTTATTTGATTTTTTATAAAATTACTACTCGTAGAAAAATTGCAAACAGAACTACTTCAAATCCTTGAATATTGCGACGTCTTGAACCTATTATCCGAAACATTGTTGTAATTTCAAAGTACTTTTAAAGAGTACGTCAGTAATATCTAAATATCTATCTATCTTTCTATCTATCTATCTATCTATCTATCTATCTATCTATCTATCTATCTATCTATCTATCTATCTATCTATCTATCTATCTATCTATCTATCTATCTATCTATCTATCTATCTATCTATCTATCTATCTATCTATCTATCTATCTATCTATCTATCTATCTATCTATCTATCTATCTATCTATCTATCTATCTATCTATCTATCTATTATATCTATCTATCTGTCTCTCTATATATCTATCTATCTATCTATCTATCTATCTATCTATCTATCTATCTATCTATCTATCTATCTATCTATCTATCTATCTATCTATCTATCTATCTATCTATCTATCTATCTATCTATCTATCTATCTATCTATCTATCTATCTATCTATCTCTCAATCTATATATCTATCTATCTATCTATCTATCTATCTATCTATCTATCTATCTATCTATCTATCTATCTATCTATCTATCTATCTATCTATCTATCTATCTATCTATCTATCTATCTATCTATCTATCTATCTATCTATCTATCTATCTATCTATCTATTAATCTATCAATCTATCTATCTGTCTCTCTCTCTCCGTCTGCACCTCTATCTGCTTCTCTGTCTGTTTCTGTTTCTGTCTATATCTCTTTCTGTCTATATCTCTTTCTGTCTGTCTGCCAGTCAGTCTGTCAGTCAGTCAGTCTGTCTATGTCTCTGTATGTCTCTGTATGTCAGTCTCTCCGTCTGTCTGTCTGTCAGTCGCTCTGTCTGTCAGTCTCTATAATCATCCCGGTGGTCTGTTTGTCTCTATATATACCCAGTTGTCTTTCTGTCTCTCTATCTTCCCGGTTGCCTTTCTTTCTCTCTATCTTTCCGGTTGTCTGTCTTTTTATCTTCCCGGTTGTCTGTCTAGTTATTTGGCTATCCGACTGTTTTCTGCATTCCTTGCTAACATAGACCTTGCTCCGTTATGCAGAAAAATTTACCTATTATTGCTCTTTATTCAAGTTAAATTTCTACTTTGTACCACAAAGTGTTAAAGACTTACATATTATAAAGCGTTAAATCATTATTTTGGCCCCAACAATCAAGCGTAGGTGTTTCAAAATAAAAACTAACTAAAATAATTGTGGGTTGGTGCACAAAAAAACACACAATACGATTTAGATATATCGTATAATAACAAAACAAATCAAGTTTAGTTTTGGCTAAAACTAAGCAAAAAAGTAATGTATCATTATATATACGTTAACTAGCATTGACTTTCAATAAACTGCAAATGATGAATGAAAAAAACACAAAACAAACAATGAAGAACCAGGAAAACTTAAAATTTTATTACAATAAACACATGAGAAAAGCTTCAAGTTGCAAATAAATAGGAAGGTACCTTTTTTCTACGCCAGCATCCGGTATAAAAAGGCACAATATCAATTAAATTCGTTTTCTCAGATATTGTAGACTTTATTTAAAAAAAAATTAATAAAAGATAAAAAAACAAAACAATATTTATAATAATTAATTGTTGACTTTATAAAAAACCGTTTTTAAACAATTAACGAAAGAATGTTCTCAAAAATATATGTATGAATGTATGTCATCATCATCATCATCATCAACGGCATGAGTATGAGATGACAATACTACATAATAAAAGTACGTTAATAAAGTATCACAAAATAAATGTGTACTTTTATAAAAAAAAAACACAAACGTACAACAATACAACTAAACATATTTTCAATTATTAACAAAATTCTTCAATTAATAATTGATATCAATGAATGAACGAATGAATTAATGTATGAGTGAATGTTTGTGTCTTTATTAATTGTTTGTTGAACGAGTTGTTGAATATTTTCATATGTAACATGTGTTGATCTTGTTTTCTTTTTTTTTTTTTTTGTATCGTGCTTGGAGAAAATATTTTATAATATTATACAACAATAAGTTCAAAACACTTTGACACCCCAGTAAATAAAGTGCCCAATAGGGCTTATTGTTAGTTAAAGAGTATAAAAAATCACAACATAATTTCCCCCTATTTTATTAAATACTTAGTAGTAGTGAATAGTTTTCAATAAATGTGCAAGTAATTATTATCAGTGTTATTTAATGAGGGTCTCTAAGTTTAGGTCAATAATGTTTGGCACTTCATAATATTTATTGTTTATAAAGTACCTTAGAATCAGTGATGCCAGATTTTTTTCAGAAATCCCTACGCTTATGAGAAAAAATCCCTTTTTTCCCTACACCCACTTTTTATTTTCCCTACATTTTTCTCTACACTACTTTTTTCCAAGTTTATCCTAAAAAAATACAAAAATAACATAAAAAACTAAAATATTAGCTCCGTTTTATATTTTTTTTCTTTTAATTTTACATAATACAAATTTTCCAAGCCTGACTCTTCAGTTAAGATTAAAAAAACAAGACAATTGAAAGATTTATGGCAGTATCACGATTCGATGTTAAAAATTTATTTTATGTTTTTTAAGGTTTACTTTCGCGTTTACTTTTGCGTTTACTTTTTGCGGTTTACTTTTATAAATTTTCAGAACATTAAATCTGATTCATTTTTAATTTTAAAGTTTAATACATTAAAGGGTATATTTTTAGTTGTTAAAAACTATGAAATTGAAAAATCCCTACAATTTGACAATAGTAAGAAATCTTTCCCTTTTTCCCTACACGTGAAATTTTTGAAAAAAAATCCCTACAAAAAGGGAAAAATCCCTACACTTGGCATCACTGCTTAGAATTTACATTTCATAATCTACACTATTATAGTAGAGAATGGGGACCCCAAAGAGTTCAATTTGATAAACTCATATTATTGTTCCGATATTGCAATGCCTACATACATATGTATGTACCTCCGTGTATAGGTCTGTTTAACCATTTGAAATGGTATGGTAATATATATTAGAATAATCTCAAATAGTTTGTTATGTTAATACTTATATCAAAAAGATGTACAGATTCTGACGCAACTCGAATCCATCCTCATATGGATAGATTTAATGTATCTCTAGTTCATCATGGAAACTATTTCATATCTATCTATCTATCTATCTATCTATCTATCTATCTATCTATCTATCTATCTATCTATCTATCTATCTATCTATCTATCTATATCATCTATCTATCTATCTATCTATCTATCTATCTATCTATCTATATCATCTATCTATCTATCTATCTATCTACTATCCTATCTATCTCATCTATCTATCTATCTATCTATCTATCTATCTATCTATCTATCTATCTATCTATCTATCTATCTATCTATCTATCTATCTATCTATCTATCTATCTATCTATCTATCTATCTATCTATCTATCTATCTATCTATCTATCTATCTATCTATCTATCTATCTATCTATCTATCTATCTATCTATCTATCTATCTATCTATCTATCTATCTATCTATCTATCTATCTATCTATCTATCTATCTATCTATCTATCTATCTATCTATCTATCTATCTATCTATCTATCTATCTATCTATCTATCTATCTATCTATCTATCTATCTATCTATCTATCTATCTATCTATCTATCTATCTATCTATCTATCTATCTATCTATCTATCTATCTATCTATCTATCTATCTATCTATCTATCTATCTATCTATCTATCTATCTATCTATCTATCTATCTATCTATCTATCTATCTATCTATCTATCTATCTATCTATCTATCTATCTATCTATCTATCTATCTATCTATCTATCTATCTATCTATCTATCTATCTATCTATCTATCTATCTATCTATCTATCTATCTATCTATCTATCTATCTATCTATCTATCTATCTATCTATCTATCTATCTATCTATCTACTATCTATCTATCTATCATCTATCTATCATAATCTATCTATCTAGCTATCTATCTACTATCTACTATCTATCTATTTCTATCATCTATCTATCTATCTATCTATCTATCTATCTATCTATCTATAGCTATCTATTATCTATCTAGCTATCTATCTATCTATCTATCTATCTATCTATCTATCTATCTATCTATCTATCTATCTATCTATCTAGCTATATCTATCTAGTTCTATCTATCTATCTATCTATCTATCTGCTTCTATCTATCTAATTCGATCTATCTATCTATCTTCTATCTATCTATCTATCTATCTATTATTTTATCTATATCTAATCTATCTGCTGTCTGTCTGTCTATCTATCTATCTATCTATCTATCTATCTATCTATCTATCTTATCTATCTATCTATCTATCTATCTAATCTGTCTATCTATCTATCTATCTATCTATCTACTCTATCTATCTATCTATCTATATATCTATCTATCTATCTATCCTTATCTAATCTATTCTGACAGTTTAGAGCTTGGTTCTATAACGAACTGGGGAA